GTCGCTTAAACGCGACATACTATTTTTGCGCTTAGCATATGCGCATAGTTACATTTATCCTACTGCTACTGGTCGTTGGGTATTTGGCACATCCGGACGGTCTATCGGTATCAATGGTCACGTTGTCAAGTTGAAATTTATAACGTCACACTCTCTTGACTAACGCACATTGTACATTTTTTGACTACATGAATTTAGTGTTAAATCTACGCTATAGCGTTACATGATTTCAGTGTTAAATCTACGCTCTAGCGTTACATGAATTCAGTGTTAAATCAACGCTCTAGCGTTACATGAATTCAGTGTTAAATCTACGCTCTAGCGTTACATGAATTCAGTGTTAAACCTACGCTATAGCGTTGCATGAATTCAGTGTTAAATCTACGCTCTAGCGTTACATGAATTCAGTGTTAAACCTACGCTCTAGCGCACTAAAGGAGAGTTTAATCAAGGCAGGGACAGGTGTGGTCTACAAAATATAGGTCTCTTTGTTTAATCTGTCTTCCTTCTATTTTCATAGGTTAGTAATACAGGTAAATATTTTAAATATAAAAGCAAATAGAGTTCCTATATATATATATATATATATATATATATATATATATATATATATATATATATATATATATAATATTAGTTTCGCTGTCTCTCTATCTATGTATCTATCTATGTATCTATCTATGTATCTATCTAACTGTCTGACAAAAACGCTCTAGAAAAAACACAAGCAATTTAAAAACTTTCACAGTGAAACGAAAACGGAATATGACGTCACATTTAGCATAGAGTACAAAATAATATCAAGCCGGAGAGTGCACACAGTAATACGAAGTCATTGATTCTCGAGTAAACATTGAATAAAAAGGCAATTTTGTCTAATCTAAGTGGTTTGCGTGAAGAGTTTCTTTCATACATTTCTTCGGGTAGGGGCGAAGCCCCACCCCCGCGTAAGAACGTCTGAGCCCCCCCCCCCTCCCCAACTCAAAAGAAATTTCTTAATCGATACTCTATAATAAAAATTACCGCCTAATTAATGTGTCTAATCTAAAAAGTGGTTTTCTTGCAATTTCTTTAATGCAACTCTTCGGGTAGTGGCTAAGAGCGACACCGGTGTTTCTTTCAGACTTTTTCCTCCCCGGAGGTGGGAACTTATTCTAATCTAAAAAGTGTTAAACGTGAAGTTTTTTTTTTCAAGCATCTCTTCCGGTAGGGGCGAAGCCCCGCCCAGATTCTTCCTTTAGTTTGTATGATCTACAAATGCGACCAGTGTTTCTTTCAGACTTATTCCTCCCCAGAGAGGGGTGGGGGTACTTGAAATTTTCGGGGGCGGGGGTAGAATTTTCTGGGAGGGGGCGGACACTGGAAAAAGTAAATAATTATATTTCGTTGAATGGGACGGTAGACATGTTTTGGGGTGTGTGTGGGGGGAAAGGGGGCTAAGCCCCCTCCTCCCAAGTAGAGTTGCCTGAAAGAAACTCTAAATGTGACTTTTGTCGCATGGTTTAGGGATATGCCTATGACTATATTTTGTATAAATTAAAGTACCGAGAAAATAGACAGCACTATCAACCTAGCGCCCGTTGTATCCTTCCTCAACGGGCCATTTTTCTCGTATATAATAGTTTGGCTGTCTGTGTATCTATCTGTGTATCTATCTATGTATCTATCTGACAAGAACGCTATAGAGAAAACACAAGCAACTTAAAAACATGCACAGTAAAGCGGAAGCGAAATATGACGTCATATTCAGCACATAGTAGAAAATAATATCAAGCCGGAGAGTGCACACAGTAATATGACGTCATTGATTCTCCCGTAAAAATTGAATAAACAGGCAATTTTGTCTAATCTAAGTGATTTGCGTGAAGAGTTTCTTTCATACAATTCTTCGGGTAGAGGCGAAGCCCCACCCTCGCGAAAGAACGTCTAAGCCGCCCCCCCCCCCCCAACTCAAAAGAAATTTCTTCATCGATACTCTATAATAAAAATTACCGCCTAATTAATGTGTCTAATCTTAAAAGTGGTTTGCTTGCAGTTTCTTTCATGCAATTCTTCGGGTAGTGGCTAAGCGCGACACCAGTGTTTCTTTCAGACTTTTTCCTCCCCGGAGGGGGGAACTTTTTCTAATCTAAAAAGTGTTTAGCGTGCACAGATTTTTTCTCTTCCCCGCCCAGGTTCTTCATTTAGTTTGTATGATCTACAAATGCGACCAGTGTTTCTTTCAGACTTTTTCCTCCCCTGCGAGGGGTGGGGGGTACTTGAATTTTTTGGGGGGCGGGGATAGAATGTTCTGGGAGGGACGGACACTGGAAAAAAGTATATAATTATATTTCGTTGAATGGGACGGTAGACATGTTTTGGGGTGTGTGTGGGGGGGGGGGGGGGCGGGGGGGGGGGCTGAGCCCCCTCCTCCCAAGTAGAGTTGCCTGAAAGAAACTCTAAATGCAACTTTTGTCATGAATGAGATTATGTACATGGTTTAGGAATATGCCTATGACTATATTTTGTATAAATTAAAGTACCGATTCTGGATAATAATCCGTTTTCAAAGTCATTTTTCGTTTCCGGTTAAATTGAATTAAGGTGGTGATTTTGGTTTTGGTTTTAGTTTAGAGAAAATAGACAGCACTATCAACCTAGCGCCCGTTATACTTCCTCAACGGGCCATTTTTTCTCGTATATATATATATATATATATATATATATATATATATATATATATATATATATATATATATATATATATATATATATATATATATATATATATATATATATATATATAATGAATGTGTATATTGGGTACTTTACATTTCAGTGGACGGTGTTTTATTACTAGGCTAAATTGTTGGTGGCCATATTCATTAAATTTTTACCAACAGTCCAATTACTTAGCCTAGCATGGCTTTGTATATGATGTGTGTCGAGGTAATATGTATAGCAAGTCTAGAAAACACATACCATGTCTTTCCATATGCACTGTTTATATGGTGCTTCATTTCTTCTGATTCTCCCCTATGTGTTTAATGCATCCTGAAATTTTCTTATCTGATCTTTTGTAAATTAATCTCATAGCTGAGCTTTAGACTTGGGGAGATTTTTAAATTGTTATAAAAAAAGTGAGTTCTAAATGCATGTTTACTTTCTGTATTACGACCTTTGATTTCATTTTTTTCTCTTAGGAAATTTCACAGATATCAATTTTAGTACAAATGTTTCCTATGTATTCTAATAAGGCTAATGTCCCCTTAAGACCTAGCTATCCATTGGGCAGATGAAGTAGAGCTCATGTGTTTCTTGATCTCGACCTATAAAGGGGTATGCCCAGCTGCAGATGCCTTTACTTTCCCTAACGTGAGTTAGGTACCTAACAGAACTGAGTGTACTCAGGGACGTTCTGCTGACCTGAACATGGATTTGAACAAATGTAATCTAATAAATCAAGTTAAATTTTCTTAGAATATTTCCTAAGATTGTGTTTGTGTCGGGGAATGGCTGTGATGATTTTACATCATGACGTCATAGTTTTGGAGTAGATGTCCCGCATTTTGTGACAATATTTAGTCAGGTGAGTGTTTGAATAATAATAAAGTTCTGATCGTACTTTTTCTTCAGATTCCAAGATCACGGAAACAGGATAACTCTACTTCACTTGCCCCATAGACCGTGAGTATTGTTAAAGAAATTAGCTAGAATCGAAAGAGCCAACGTTCTGAACCTGTTGGATACTTGAATGTATTCAATGCTCCAGTAAACACAAAATCGGCCGTAAACTAAAATTACACATCTTTATACTACTAAAACTCAAGTTTGTTTACATGTTTGAATATTTATTTGTTTGCTTGTCTGATTGGCTACTGGAGAGAATCTGCACTATGTTTAGAGCTGTAAAATAGTATGTAGATAGAGAACAATTTTTGTTTTCAGACAGACTGTTAATCACAAATTTATTTAAAGATGTTAATTAATTTATTGATTTATTCATTGGTACATTAACTTTATTAATTATAAAAGTTTAAAAGAATGGCTTTAATTTCACTGAATAGTTACGTCACATGATTTGTTTACTTTTTAGTGCAAGAAAATGGCGGCTTCAATACAATATTTTGTGGCCCATTCAAATAGTTGCTTTCTAAGGAGTATTAAAAAGGTTTTTTTTTTACAGGCCGCTTACCCCCTAAAATTTGTTTGCCACAATATTTTACTCAATTTCTTAAGAGAGACAATATAGTCACTCAGAGAGTAGTGAAATCGTCAGAACAAAAAAATATTCGATATATAGCTAATATATGGAGAATGTTACCCCCGTTCACGTTTTAGCATTCTGCGACGGCATTTAGTCTGACAGTTTATCCAAATGTCCGACTCAATTTTCGAGCTTCATGCAAAAAGTTAGCCAAATGTACTCAAAAACTAAATTACCCTCTTTTTTTCATGTAAATTACAATGGCAACATAGTAAAATCTCGTTTCTGGTTTATAATGGTTTTCAGAAGTTTTCCCGAAAAGCGCACCGTTTTTTTTCCTTTATTTATGGGCATTGGTCTACAAACTCAAAACATATCAAAGGGTGGTGTGGTGGAGTCGGCTAGCACATGTTTTTTTTATATCATAAGCTGTCGGTCTGTCGCGATCACTTTGCAGCCCTCAGAGAGGGCCTACAGCCTGGCCGAAATTTTCCCTAGAGCATTTTGCCGGATGCGATCGCCAGTCAAACTTTTAGCGCATGCGGCGTCGTTGAGCGGCCAAAAGAATATATATATATATATATATATATATATATATATATATATATATATATATATATATATATATATATATATATATATATATATATATAACTTATTTCTAGGTGTCTTTTCTTTTTAATACTTTGGATTCGTTGAGTAGTAGACTTCTCTTCATCAGAATTCAACAATCACCATATCCCCATCATCACCAGCACGACACCATCCATCCTTACAACCCATCTGAAATACCAGAAATATCTCTGCGGTCACGATGTTGTGGTATACAGGATTAGGACCATTAATCACCGAGATATTCCTGACCATTAATTGTTTGATCCTCGTCATCCTAATTAGCATCTTTGGTATCATCGGAAACGTCATCAACATAATCATCTTCTCCAAACAAGGATTCGACGACAGCATCAACATTACTCTCACTGCTTTAGCTATCTGTGACCTCGGCGCTCTGTTCGCCAGCCAGGTGCTAGCGGTGGTCGTTAATCCCTGGTTTCTGACGTCAGATCTGCCCATCGTCCACATGGAGGTCGTGAACATGGTAGTCTTCTACCCGCACAACTATTGTGTGCGGGTGTGCGGGTTCATCACGGCTTTCGCGGCTTTTGAAAGATGTCTGTGCGTGCTCATCCCTCTCAAAGTCAAGCAGGTCATAACCAGGAAATTTACCATTTATTTCCTGTGCGTCATTTTTGTCGTCACCCTTCTAGACATGCTGCCAATTTACTATGTGACCTACTTAGATTGGGTTTTCTTCCCTGATTCAAACTCTACAAAACTCGCGATGGTTTTTCGGGAAAACCCGTACAATGTTTTTGGTATTTCGTATTTAATCACGGACATGTTCGTACCGTATTTCACGTTCTTCATCATCATCCTCAGTAACGTAGTCATCACATGGAAGCTTAAAGCCAGGTCTGCGTGGCGAAGCTCCGTCACTAACACCAGATCTGTCAAAGGCGAGGGCATTTCCAACAGAGAAAAAAAAACTGTTCTATCCTTGATGGTGGTTTCCATTATCTTCATCGTCTGTCTGCTGCCTCAGTCTGCAATACTGTCAGCGGTCAGTCTGGAACCGGAGCTAAGCATCAGGGGCAGCAAGTTTGACCTGACCATCCTGTGCCTGAGCTTCGCCTACATGCTCGAGTGCATCAGCTCGAGCGTCAACGTCATCGTTTACTACAGGATGAGCTCCAGATACCGCGAGACCTTCCTGGTCTTTGTGGCCCAGCAGAAGTGGCTCAGGAAGTTCCAGCCACGGGAATCGACAAAACAGGTGGACATATGAGAGATTGGATCTTGGAAGTAAATTACAAAACATTTATTTCAGATTTTATCTTTTCTGTATACACAAACCTTCAAATATATAAAAAAAATCTGTGTGTGCTTGTTTCTATATATGTGTGTATGCGTGTTTATTGTGAGAAAAATTTCGACGACCTATACTAGACCCATTTTTTTTATCGGTCAAGAAACTATTCTATCTATCTATATATCTATATATCTATACATAGACTACAACTAAAACTCAAGTTTGTTTACATGTTTGAATTTCTATTTTTTTGGTTTTTATTGTTTGTTTGTTTTTTGTTTGTCTGATTGGGTAATGGAAAGAATCTGCTCTATGTGGAGAGCTCTAAATTGTATGTAGGTAGAAAACAATGTTTGTTTTCAGACAGACTGTTAATCACAAGTTTATTTAAAGACGTTAATCAATTTACTGATTTATTCATAGGTAGATTAACCACATTAATAATAAAAGTGTAGAACAATGGCTTTACTTTGACTGAATAGTGACGTCACCTGATTTGTTTAGTTTTTAGTACAGTAAAATGGCGGCTTTCATCATAGACTTTGTGGCCCATTCAAAAGTTTAACGCGTTCTAAAGCTAATTTTCTTTCGGCTATGACTTTAACAATACGTCCGTTTGCTCTTTTTATTACGTTCCACCCCTTATAAAAATTTTCAACTGTCTTTTTCATTTAGTTTTACAATAAATTTCTCTAGCTCTTCAATATGTCCAAGAAAGTTATCTATTTGTTTATAGATCTAAATATCAGGTGGCCAAGAAAGTTATTTATAGATCATTCTATATCTAGAATCCGAGTCAAAGCAAAGATTAATTATATACAAACCAAAGATTAATTAGAAAAAAATACAATCTATCTCTAAAGCATAATACATTTTTTAGTCCTTAAATACTTAATATAAATCTTTGTGATTTATCTATCTAGATCTAGATCTATCTAGAATAGGTGTAATCTAGATCTAGCAAGTGTTACGCAAAAACTAGACGTAAGACTTAAGCAAACGAGTCGTAGAATCTAGATCTAGATAATTTCAGACCTTCATTATATTGTATAAATCTTTGTTTGTTTAGCTATGTAATTGGCTAATTTAAGATAAAATTTAATTTGAAAGTTACTACTACTAGATTTAGATCTAGTACTAGATAGGGCCTATACCCGTAAATCAAGTTGCATAAAGAGACTCAAAGTATTAAACTTTACCAATAAAAAAAAACATCAGTAACGTCACGAGTCTAAATATCTAAGTTGTTATTGTAATAGGCTTTCATGCGGGTGGCACGGGTTGTAGTTGTGAATGATAAAGTTGCCTATCTGAACTTGGCGGGATACAGGGAAGGTGAAGTAAAGGGCATCTGTTTCTTTGTCCTAAGCATATGATGGGATAGTGTGGTCAGAGACATGCCCGGCCGGAATCGTTTTTTTTAACGATAAAAACATGTTGTCTGAGACTTGGCGGGAAACTGGGCAGGTGAAGTAGAGTTGAGTAGGTCACCTGTGACGTCATTGTATGAAGGGATAGTCCGTAATCGGTGTTTTTAAAAGATGAAAAACATCTTTTTGAATGTGGGGTGTGGTTTTTTGTGACGATAAGTGACAGACGTGATGTTTTTTTTATGGATGACCCCCGAAACCCAAAGTTAACCAAGGGATGACGGGTAGTCTAGTATACTATTAAAGCTCAAATTTGATTGCATGTTAGATTTTTTTTTTGTTGTCCGTAGTGTTACAGGAGAGAATCTTCACTATGTGTAGAGCTGTAAAGTAGTAATTAGGTAGAGAACAATTTTTGTTTTTAGACAGACTGTTAATCACAAATTTATTTAAAGACGTTAATTAATTAATTGATTTATCCATTGGTAGATTAACCACATTAATTATAAAAGTTCAGAACAATGACTTTACTTAATGTGAATAGTGACGTCACATGATTTATTTACTTTTCACATCAACAATGGCTGCTTCCATCGAAGATTTTGTTTCCTCTATTCAGACGTATAAAGCACTATAGAGCTAATTTTATGTCGGCTACAGATTTAGCGATATGTCCTGTCCGTTTGCTATTTTTATTACGTCCCAACATTAATATCATTTTTCAACAGTTCTTTTTATTTTAGTATACAATAAATTTCACTAGACATCTAGATCTAGAATCTAAATATTCTAGGTCAAACAAAAATTATAATTATTTAAAAGACTTTTAAAATCAGAATACATTATTGAGTTCCTCTATTAAACTATTTTAGTCCTTAAATATTTGATATAAATCTTTGCTTTTTAGCTTCACTGATCATCTAATTCAAGAATACAAGTGATTTATCTATCTAGATCTAGGTTCTAAATCTAGAGTTACGGCAAAAACTCGGCTAAACCAAACCAGTCGTAGAATCTTGATAACTCTATCTAGATCTAGATCTAGATAATAATGAGTTCCTATTTGAGACCTTCATTAATTTATATAAATCTTTGTTTGTTTAGGTATGGAATTGGTTAATTTAAGAAAAAAATTAATTTAAAAGATACTAGACCTAGGGCCTATTCGCGTAAATCAATTTTCTTAAATAGAGTCAAACTATTTATATGAAGCATAAACAGTGGCATGACCACATAAGCCTATATAGCTAAAGTGATGGTGTAGTTGACTTCCATGCGGGTAGCACGGTTTCGAGACACATCATGTCAATGTTTTATTTCTTTTTTCAATTTACGTCTTTTTTAATGTGGGGTCTGGTTACTTTGTGATGATAAGTGACAGACGTGAATCATTTATAGATGACCCCCGAAACCCACAGTTATCTAACTAGATAACGAGTAGTCTAGTAATATTTTAAATAAACCGGGAGTGTTCTCCCTTAAACTTTCTCGAATATTCTTATATAAAACAACAGGGGATGGGAACTCGGACTATAGACATGATTTTTAATCCATTTTAAATACTTAAAGTTTTAAAAATAGAATAAAATCTCGTAGACAAAAGAATTGCACACCGAGTGAACGCCAAATAAAAAAGTGCATAATAGTGCGCAATATTATTAGTACTTTAAAAATTTACATTAGTTTTTTGAGAAATCGGAAGTAGCGTAAATTACTACTTCCGGTCAATGGAAATTACTCAAAATTTAACAGAAGGTAGAGAATTAGATCTTTTACTTACACGTAAAATTTCATTTATCTATCTGAAATAGTACTCAAGTTATAGGCTTTTGAAAAATTCAAAGTAGAAAAAGTACCACTTCCGGTTATCGGAAATCGCTCAAAAGTTGATACGGATCTACGATTTTGATAAAATACTTATATATGAAATTTCATCAACCTAGCTGTAACGGTACTCAAGTTATCGTGTTTACACACGGACAGACAGACAGACACACAGACATACGGACAGAATTGCAAAGCCCAGTTTTTTAGACTGGATTACGCATAAAACCTCTTAATTTTGATAAATCTGGATTGATAATTTTTGCCCGATTAAAATAAGTCCTCTATACTTCGGATGTGATGAAGGACTGAGGTGTAATACGGTGAAAATTGTTAAAATTTCAAGTGATTTTTGTGCACGATTACAATACTTTCTCTATACTTCGTATATACGAGAAAGTAAAAATTAATAGAAAATGTTTTTAAAAAAATAAAGAAATAATATTAAAGATTTTTTTCCTTGTGAAACGTTATTAACAGTGTCTGTTTACCATATTCACTTTAGAACTTTTTTTGTAGAGTCTAAAAAAAATTAAAAAAAAGGAACTGAAATTTTAGAAAGGTTTTTTTATTAGGTTTGGTAGGTGAGGGTGAATATGTGCTTATAACTAAAGCTGAATTTGTGGTTAAATGAAAATAGTTTTCATAAATTATAAAATAATAAAATTATAAATAGCATGCATAATAACATGTAGAGTAAAATAATAAATACTCAGCTTAAACAGTATTCCTTTTCAAACAGTAGTCCTTTTACATAGTCGTTTCCTATATTTGTTTGTTAATTGTAAATCGTTTACCAAAAGAAATTTCTGGAATCCGCAAAGCGAGTTTTTTCCTTACCTTTATCTCAAACAACTTCAGCGTTTTGTAATTTTTATTATACTAGACTACCCGTTATCCCTTGATAACTGTAGGTTTCGGGATCATCCATATATAACGTCACGTTTATTTGACGATTTTTATCTTTCCTCTCCCCTAACTACTGGCGCACATCTTCACAAAAAGCCAAACCCCACATTCAAAAAGACGTTGCATCTCAGACATGTTTTTTGTCTTTTAGAAATACCGATTTCGGCTGATCATGGTTCTAGCCTCACTTTCCCTACTTATGCTGAACTCAAAGAAACAGGGGAACTCTATTTCACCTGCCAAACTCAGTGCACGTGCTCCATGTCCCGGCAATTCCCGATATGTAAATTTATCGTACAAAACTAAAAATAAGTCACACCTCAGCTTACATGTTTTTGTCTTTTTTAAATAAAAAAAACACATTAGTTCCTTATATTTTCTGAGCTCGAACCTCATGTAAATGATAAATGAATTAAGTATTAAAGCAAAAGTCAAACTAACACTAACGAATTAAGACCAATCAAGTGTCTAGTGTTTTTGCACTATGTTCTTAGTTGTTCAGTACTTACTTTCATGTGTCAAAAATGATAAATGTATTTAAAGGGCTTCAAATCATAAATTATAAAAAAATTAAAAAAAAAACAGTTTGTAAAAAAAAACATTATTCTACACATAAATACGTAATTGATAGTTCAACACATATTGCAGATGCTCTTATCTAACGGAATAAACAAATAAATATACTAACTTATCGCTTTTAGTAGTATATAGATTTTAGAAATATATTGATAAAGAAAAACATATACTTATAAGGTCATTTTTTTTTTTGTGGCATTTCGTTTTGAAAATTTCCTACTTGTTCCGTAATACCTCAGGATCATGGAAAATTTAGTTTATTGTTTGACTGTGAAAGATTTTATTTTCCTTGTGTTT